TTAATATCATATCTAACCTCTTTTGAAGAAGTCCAATATCAATTTTTTTCTTTTATGGTTCATACTTTTTGTGTCTAATCCAAGGAATCTTTACCTCACCCAAGGTTGCAAACCCAAAGTTTCCAGAAGACGTTTGGCTTTTATATTTTTGTCTATGATTCATTTACAGTTAACTTTTATGCAGGGTATGAGGTAAGAATCAAGGTTCTTTTTATTTTTTTTTAATACAGATATTCAGTTGTTTCAGCACCATTTGTCAAAAAGACTACTCCTTGGATGTTAACTAGATTTAGTGTGGGTGATCATTTCATAATATATACAAGTATCGAATTGTTATGTGGTACACCTGAAATTAATTAATATGTCAATTATATCTCAATAAAAGACTATTTTTCCCATTGAATTACCTAGGCATCTTTTAATAACCTTTCATGACCTTGTAATTTCTACTTATCTATAGTTATGTCCAACTTTTCATTCATAAAATTGTTTTAGGTTGCTTACACTTGGAAATGTTCAACTTTCTTTAAAATCTGTGAGATTACTGGATATATCACATTTCAGATAACAATAAAACAAAAGAACAAACACCAAAAGGACATGAACTTTTTGCTGTTTTCCCAGCAGGCATTACGGGTTTATGCCGAGTGGTCAGCGTGTCTCTGTCATGACAATGGCAGGGTTTGTGAGACGGCTTTGCACAGCGGGTCTGAGGTTACTGAGAGGAGCGGTCTGCTTAGGTAAACTCGGAACTTTGGTTGCACTGACCTTATGTTTCAACCAATTACACTATCTAGTTTTTCTTAAGAACCAAAACATTTTTTAGAGACAACACATTAATTCTGCAATAAAATTTAAAAGTGCTTTCATTTTGCAAAGATAATGCTACTTATTTCCATGTATTTTAATTCATTTATCTTGGAAAAGATTTGTACCAAAAGGAAAATCATCTTACTAGAGAGCTAAAATGTATAGCCAGTGAAGAGAAGCTTCTCTGAGCCTCCACCAAACTTATAGCCACAAAAAATGATAATATTGGATGTTTACATGAACTACTTGGGTTTATTAAATTAGGTCAGCATAGAGGGATAAGAATATATCACAATTGGAAAAACAAAAACAGGGGAACTGACTGCGCAAGGTTGTAAAGAAAATGAGCAGAAAGCCCCCTTCTGGTTGTCCTTCTTTGCAGAGGGCTGCAGTGTTCTTGCTGCACTGAGAGCGTGCACTCACATGGTTAACTTAAGCCGAGCAGCAGCCCGGACGGCCCACTGCCCGAGGCAGCTTTTCATCAGACTGTCCAATGCCTGTGCCTGGCACAGCCGCCCTGGGTGACTAGGACTGTAAAACAATGTATGCACTGTTCCAGACTCATTTTTGAAATAAAAGACCCATAATCATTTCCTGAAAAAGAAACTGTTAAAGCATCACTTGGCTTTTGTCAAATGTTTGATTACTTTGTGACAATGAAAGGCATGCTATATCACAAGGATTACTCTCATTTCTTCTAAAAAGTATTATTTTTCTCTGAGCAGATTTCAAAGATGCTCCTCCTCCAAGCCACAAAACTGTCCCTCCTCCCACCAGATACCGTTTCAAGTGCACAGAGCCCCCACTCCTTGGACCACTGATTCATCATCACCAGTACGTGATGTTTTTTTACTCAATAAGATCTGACTCCAACACAATTAAAAGCAACCAAATCTCCCCAAAATGCAAGCATTTAATGATGACAACTGCTCAGTGGGTCCTGAGGTTTGCAGAATGAGAGTTCCAAAGAGCAAAATTATACAAAAATCTGGATCAGATCACAAGACACAGCAATTACTTTGGTTGAACCTGGCAGGCACAGGCATTTGTGAGATTCTAGGTCCTTCCAAATGTTCTATGGTCCATGTAAGCTCATTCACCTCCAGGTCTGAATTCACCTTCCCTTTCTGGTTTCTAACATGCTTTTTTGTGCCAACTCTCAGTGAAAAGCTCAGGGATGTGGCAGTGGTGGAGACCACACAGTTGTTACATGGAGATGACAGAAGGTTCCCTCCTCAGAGAGGCTGCGTCAGGGGAAAATGGTGTGGTGGCAGCTCCACTTGGCTGTGGGGCTGGGCCCTCTAACAGTAGTGAAGTCTGAGCTCTTCTGGATATACTACGAGTACATGCATTTCTGTGAAAAGAGAAAACACTGTCTTGTCTGGCAACAAGACAGTGTGGCAGAGCGTTTTGGACTCAAACCTAGGTTCAGATTCTGGCTTTACCACCCCTGAACTTCCTCGGGCAAGTTACTCAACCTCCTGACCTGGGTTTTTTCTTCCATTAACCGGGAATAACGATATCTTCCGAACAGGGTTCCTGTTGAGACGGGAGATAATACATAAAAAAGCCGAGCACTGAGTGGGCATCTGTCCTAGCTCCCTTCACCGTCTTTCTCTGAGTAATGTGCTTGCAAGACCTCTTGCTGCCCAAAGTCTAAAGACACGTTTCACCGGGTCCCTGGGCCTTTCTAGGGAAAAGAGTTCACACTTTGGTGGATGGGAGAATTACGGCATTTTAGAGACCCTTATCGGCAAATTCAGAGGAGTCTCCACTTTACAGAAAGCCATGAAGAGTTGCCGCCTCAAAGCCTGAAACTGGTCTTTGGCAATGACATTACGGCTACTACTTAAGGGCAGGTACCCTCTGTGGTCGGGGGATAGGAGGTGGCAGTACCTCATAATACTACAGGCACTAAAACAATACGTGGTGACAACTATCATGTGCACTTTGCACATTTAATCTAATTTAATCCTCCTAGTGACCCGCAGAGGCAGGTACCATTGGAGTTCCTATGTTACAGATGAGGAAGCGGAGGCACAGAGAAGCTAAGGACCTCTTAGTAAGAAGCCACGGAATGAGGGGCCGGCCTGGTGGTGCAGTGGTTAAGTACATGCGCTCCGCTGCTGGTGGCCCGGGTTCGGATCCTGGGCGCGTACCGACGCACTGCTTGTTAAGCCATGCTGTGGTGGCGTTCCATATAAAGTGGAGGAAGATGGGCACGGATGTTAGCCCAGGGCCAGTCTTCCTCAGCAAAAAGAGGAGGAGTGGCAATGGATGTTAGCTCAGGGCTGATCTTGTTCACAAAAAAAAAAAAAAAAAAGAAAAAGCCATGGAGTGAGATTCCTGGCTTGTGTGGTCCAACTCCAGAGTTCATGCTCTTGACCACAACATCCACCCTCTGGGTGACATGAACTTCTCAGGGGCATGGAGACTTCCACATCTGCGGCTCTGTTTCCAGAAGGCTGGTTAGTAGTCATGGAGTAGGCTCTTCCTCTCCCTTTGTCACTCCATGGAGGTACACAGGAAACCAATAAGGTCTTTTCAGAGTCAATCAAAATTACCACATTTACCCTACCAAATAAATAAACTCATAGAAAAAGAATGTTCTGTTTTTAACCAGAAGTAGGTTTGTCTGCTGTGATGATGTCTTACAAAGACCATCAGCCTAACAGTAACTGCTAATGATGGTTCAGTCATCAATTTAGATGGAGACCGCTGCCAAGAAATCACGAGAAGACTGAGACTGGGAAGGGCAGCAATGAAAGAATTAGGAAAGATCATCAAGCATAAAGAAATGTCTTAGAGACTAAGGCCAAGATTATCCACACCCTCATATTCCCAATTACTATGTATGGGTGAGAAAGCCAGATAGTGAAGAAGGCTGACAGGAAAATAACGGATTCATTTGAAACATGGGGTTGGAGGAGAGCTCTGTGGATACCGTGGACTGCCAGAAAGATGAACAAGTGGGTCCTAGAGCAAATTAGGCCTGAACTATCGCTGGAGGCAAAAGTGATAAAACTGAAGCTGTCCTACTTTGGGCATATCATGAGAAGGCAGGATTCTTTGCAAAAGACAATAATGCTGGGAAAAGCAGAAGGCAGCAGGAAAAGAGGAAGATCAAATAGAAGATGAATTGACTCCATAAAGGAAGCCACAGGCACAAGTCTACAGGAACCGAGGAAGACTGTTGAGGAGGGGACACTGTGGACGTCGCTCATTCATAGGGTCACCAGGAGTCAGAGCTGACTTGACGGCAGGTAACAACATCTTCATTCCTTGTAATTTTTGTCACTTCACTGGTCTGTAGCTTTCAAATTTGGAGAGCTTATAACTTATTGAAGAAACAGATGGGAGAAAAGAGGGTGAGAATCCATTTTCTTAGAAATGTATAGAAAGGCAGTCACATGGAAACCCTCCCTGGAGAGTTAAAACAGTCTAAGAAATCTCTCATCAATAGAGGTCCCCTGAGGACTCAGTTTTGAAGCCAAAATTCTGTCAACCCCCTGGGATGGGACATATGTCCTTAAACGCATGAGAAGAGGAGCTCCATGCAGCCCACCCTCACCTGGGAGGAAGGGCTAGAGCAGTACCATGAGCCAGAAGAATCCGTGGACCGGTTTAAAAACAGCACAGCTCAGCAGGGAGTCCCTGGAGCAATTGTTTTCCTCAGAGCGAAGACAAATTGGTATCAGAAAGGAAGAGCTGAGGGATGACAACAGGTGGCTACGCTAATTGAAACCTGATGGAAGAGAGTGTTAAAAACTCAGCTTGCTGGGTAGGTTGTGTGAAACAGTCATGTGGAGCTCCCTGTGAGAGAACTATGAAGATCACAGCACAGGGAAAACACCTTTTAAAAGGGAGCAAAAAAGTGATATTCCAGAAGCACTTCAGAGGATCCAAATTTAACATGTAATCACAACACTGAATGGTAAAAAAATGATTTCACAGATTTAATTAAAGCTTAAAACTTGGAGAGTTCACACAACAGTAGCAGAGTTGAAGAGAGGGAAATATGATCTTTCTCTTTTTATCAAGTGATATACTGAAGAGGAAAGAAAAGCAGGATTCCAGTTTTGTTTGTTTCGACTCCACCTATCTCTGGAAAGTGTTCATTTGCCCTGGAGGGGGTGGTCTGCACTGTCTCTCCAGCAGTCCTTCACTGGGAGAGGTTCCGGCCCACTCACCTGAGCCCCTCGGTCGTTGACCAGCTCCACAGACCACCTCCCCTCGTACTGAATCCACACAAATATCCCTCCATCTGCGTCACACGTGGCCAGCTTCTGGTATGGCTCATTCCACCTCACCAGCACAACCTGGAAAACAACCGAGGAGAGATTCACCACAGGGAATGAACCAGAGGGCCAGGAGTATGTCTACGAAGAGAGCAGAATTCAGAACTAAACAGAATGCGTGATCAAAGGAAACAACTGGGGGAGGATGTGGGGATTAGCGGAGGGGAGAGGGCACAGCCCACACGTGGCAGCGTCACAGGGAACCAGGGCCCCCATGACATGGCTTCCTGACAAACAGCAGACACCTGAGCAAACGATATATCACGGTATGAAAATGCCCATCGCTATTGAAACAGAGAGCCCATCTGGACCCAGCCCTGCCTCAAGCAAGTGCAAGGACCTCTCATCTGACAGTCCTGCGTGGCGGGAAAGCGACTTCCCAAAATCTATTATGTATTTGAATCAGGGTATTATTTATTTAGTAAAGAAAGAGGAAAAGGTAGGAACTACTCATCTTCATTTCCCTCCTGAAGTGAAATTTTCTCGACTATCTTATGTCTGAATAGTTCAGCATCTAAATATGGCCAACTTGGAAAAAATACACAATTGAAATATCTAAGTTGTTTAGGATTTATTACAGAGGAAATATGAAGAAATTATAAGCTTCAAAATTTGTGAGTGTAAGAACTTAAACTTGAAAAATTCTGAACCTGGACAAATCATTTTCATCTTTCTCAACTATCACTTCTTCATCTAAAAGATGGACCTTCCGGTAGGTGGTTTGTGGAATTACGTAAATGCCCGAGGAGCCTGAGGCTATGAAGTGGTCCTGGGAGCCCATGAGCCACAAAACCAACATCCCACATTCGCTGTGGTGAATGTTCCCCGAGTGTCGCCTGACTGGCGACATGCTGGTGATCACGACGAATGAATTCGTTTGGTCAGACGTTTAGCTCATACTTACTAGGTTCATGTCGTGTGATCCTACGTGACCAATAGGGAGTTGGAGAAGATGGGGCCCTGCCCTCGGGAAGTTGAAAGTCCAGCTGGGAGTCAGAACATCCACAGATACCTGGACATATGCTGATGTGTGTCAGTCAAACGAGGACTGTCATTAACCACAAGAGCATGCCTGCTATTCATAAGAAAGATTTGAATCCCTTTCTCCTCCCAAGACTTCTAATAAACTAGACATGTGACAGCGGTGTAAACCGTCTCCAAATTCTAACTTATATTCCAAAATAGCAAAGGAGGCCGAGGACGAATTGTCAAGGACCTCTGCAATGCCCACAGCTCTCCTCACACCCATCTGTGTCCAAACCACAGACCACCACAGAAGCCCCGTCCCCTCTCAAAGTTGTACCATGGGCACACCTGATTTTAGGTTGTTAAGTTTGTTTTTAGGGCACTGGAGAGCTAGGAGAGGCCGCCAGCCTTGGTCCGCCACACTTGATGCTATCAGCACTCGTTGCAAGATGCGTAATAAAATCCTCAAATTTTCCAAGAGGAACTTATTACCCACTTAAAATGTAAGGATACTGTAGCTCTGTTTTAAAACTCCGCAAAAATCAAAGAGAGCTGTGAAGTGGCAAATGTTTTGAGATCTGGCAACCACTAGACAAATCTAACCCAGTTGATGGCTCCCATACCAAAGTCAAATTCCCTGGAGGCGGCGCCTCAACTCCCAGCAGCCCCATCGAGCTCCATCCCTCTGCCGAGACTGCCTGCCTCACTCTGGTCCCAGCTCTGCACGTGCGGCACTTACGCCATCCACTCTAACTATGGGTTTACGTGCACGCCTCCCCGCTGAGCTGTGCCGCAGGAGGAGAGGCACAAGGGCATGCTTGTCTCTGAATACCGACACACAGTAATTTTGAACGTATTGTGCCAAACAGGAATACCTAATTAGAAGTTATGATCCCTATTCAATTATATCTTTGAACTATAAAAGGTTATCGGACACTATTTCCAGTAAGTTATTTTCAACTCCCAAAGGCATTTTAACAACAGCAATACTGCCTGCCTGCCTATTATAAACTGTTAGGTGCCGGGGACAGAGATTAAGACATTGTTGTCCCCGTGGGGTTTGGTTCACCAAACAGACACAAGATAGTGCTCTCTACGCAATTATCGAGTTGCGAACATACACACGAGGGGCCTCAATACAGGTGGATGGGGGCAACAAATCCAGATTCATTTTTTCAAGTCTAGTTTTTAAAATTCTCTATTTAAATTACTGATCTAATTTTTAAAAATAGTCAAGCCAATGACAAAAGTCTTTAAATGACACTGAATGTGTCATAAGATTTAGAATTTCCAAATGGTGAACCAAAGCCAACTTCATAAACTACTTTCAGATCCAACGATGATAGGGGCTGAGCACTGGAACCCACGAACGTGCCCACAGTTACAATTTGGTCCCTAAAGACACATCAATCATTTAACCCCACAATCAGTAATGGATCTCAGAATGGCTACCAGAGGAAAGAAAATGACAAATAAGAACACGATATTCATGACTGATCAGTTTTTAAATTATTTCCTTACGTTAACACGGTGAACATTATCTACTGTGACCTCCATTATAAAATGGTATTTGATGACAAGGTGTCATATTTCAGAGAAGAGAGGTTAGTCACATTTTCTGTACTTTTGACTTTTTGCCTTTAACATCCACTGCCATGTGTGGCCGCATATTTAGTTAACATCAATAACAAACCTCTCTTCTTCATGAAAACAGCCTGCCTAGTCATAGCATGACACAAACACAAAAGAGCAGAGACAAAACATATTTTATAGTGTCAAAGATTTCTTGGTCTTATGACCACACAGTAGTAGTTGTTGGATAAACAAAAAGTTTCCAGACTCAATTTCATCTTTTTGTAATTCTTGACCAGTTGAGATGCAGCAGTAAAGAGAAAGGGAGTCCCTGTTCACAGACTTTGCTGTGACTTCTAACCGGCATAACTAAATAGGTAGGTAAATTAGAGAAAGAAATCTCTCCAATGATTCTTGGCTTCAAAATAAAGTCAAACTGCTAACGCTGTTTCCCTGGGTTAGAATTCTCATTTCCTCTCTTGTCTACAATTCGTAGCTACCCGCCTTATCTCCCAAGCAGCTTATTTCCTGTTCTCCAAATCTTTCCAGTTATTTGGCAACGTTAGGACATACCACAGCGTTGAGGAATTACCAACCAGGGGGCCAGCTGGGTTCCCAGTCGCCCAAATAGTGTGGCAGGGTGCTAAGCATCTGCTCAGGATTCTAAGGCAGAGCTTTCTTTCCCTTTTAAAGGAAAATAGGGCTCTCGTTTAATCTGGGTACCAAAGACCTTCAGCGTTTGGGTGGTAGCTGAAGGGTGTGTTCTTTTACTAACAAGACAGAGGATAAGCTAAGTTTTGACCTAGGTCTTTGATTACCCAAAAAAATGCTAGCCTGTCACCCTCTCCAATATAAGACATTCTATCATTTTACAGTTATTGTTATCAGTAAGTATTTATTGAGGACTATTAAAGGTAGAGAAATCTACACTACAAATATAGGGCAGGTCTGAAAGCCTATTTGTTTGGTTTTTTTAAATTTATTTATTTATTTTTTCCCCCAAAGCCCCAGTAGATAGCTGTATGTCATAGCTGCACATCCTTCCAGTTGCTGTATGTGGGACGCGGCCTCAGCATGGCCGGAGAAGCGGTGCGTCGGTGCGTGCCCGGGATCTAAACCCGGGCTGCCAGCAGCGGAGCACGCGCACTTAACCGCCAAGCCATGGGGCCAGCCCTGAAAGCCTATTTGGATTGTAGTCTAATGCTCTAAATAAGTCACTTCCCTTCCTACACTCAGAGCTATTTTTAGGCAGAACAAAACAAGTGTCAGTCAACCCATCTCAAGGATGTTCATCTTTTGGAGCAGGAATCCTTCAAATGGTGTTGACAGATATAAGTACAATTTATATTTTATAGAAATATACAGGAAACCACCTCAGTGAACAATCAGTATTACCAATGTTCAGAAATTTCCCTCAACCTAAAAAGAATGTAATTTGGGGCCAGCCCCGTGGCTTAGCGGTTAAGTGCGCGCACTCCACTACTGGTGGCCCAGGTTCGGATCCTGGGCGTGCACCGATGCACTGCTTCTCCGGCCATGCTGAGGCCACGTCCCACATACAGCAACTAGAAGGATGTGCAACTATGACATACAACTATCTACTGGGGCTTTGGGGAGAAAAAGGAGGAGGACTGGCAATAGATGTTAGCTCAGGGCCGGTCTTCCTCAGCAAAAAGAAGAGGATCGGCATGGATGTTAGCTCAGGGCTGATCTTCCTCACAAAAAAAAAAAAAATGTAATTTGAATGAACGCTAAATACAAACAGCTCAAGTAATAAATCCCTATAAATGATTATTAGCACTCAGTTCTTATTCTGTAATTCATTAAATGAAACAGCAATAACTTCAATTGTACAAGAAAAACAAAGCGAGTGCCAGTTTAATTTCAGATACATTTAGTCATTTTCACAAAGAACCAAAAGCATCTTGGAATAGAGGCTGGAAGAAATTCAGTGTGAACAACGGTTTCCGGACTGACGCCCACCAGCACGAAGGTTCTGTGAAGTGCTGCAGCGGCGAGCATGGGCTCCAGACCTGAGCCCTGGCCTCACCACGCACCAGCTGTGTGGCCGCGGGCGACCTGCTGACCAGCTGACTGCCCCTTTCCCATGGGGGTAACAGCAGCACACCCTCCTCGAGTTGTTGTGCAAGTACAATGAGAAAGGACCTTAGCACAGTGCCAGGTGCATGGCAGACGTTAGAGCAATGAGAGCTCTGTATTATTAATGTGTGGGCTAAAACTTCCAGAACATGAAGATGGTTCAGCAGCGTATGTCTGTGTATGGTTCTCTCTTCTTTAACAGAAGACGATCAGTTTGACAATTAGTCCCTCTTTCCAGACCCACCTCCTGCCACATGCATTCCCCACCCAACTCTGTACCTTAAAAATCAACACCACCACACACTTCCTGCCACCTTTGGTCTGGAAGAAACTTCTGCCCTTGACACCTGACGGTGACACATTCCCTGACATTCCAAACACTC